CCTGCTCCAGCGGGGGCGGCGCGGGGGCGGGTCACAAGGGCTCGGGGGAGATTAGTGTGTGGTGGTGGTGGTGGTGGTGGTGGTGGGTACGGTCCGGTCCCGGATCACCAGCTTCAAAAGGACGACTCTAAAGATAGGGCCGACATGGATAAGTAAAGAGCAGCGTGGCAGTGGGGGGTGGGGGCGCCCCCACCGACCGCCGCACAATGCGGGGGCAAGGAAAAGGATCGCTGTTCTCGTCACGTCGTATCTGGTGCACTGTCACTAATTCGTGACGAGAAAAAATAGTTTGGTCAAGACGCGGCGTCGCTGTCAAATCTCGCCCGTCTCTCCTGAAGGGACCCTTGCTCTCTGGTGGGCATTCTGTCGTGGGGGTTGGCGGCCAGCGCCACCCCTTCTGCTGCAGCCATTGAGCCGAGAGGCCCATTGATGCTGGAGGGCCTGGATCCCTCCGCTCGCGACCCTGGGGCTGGGCCCGGCTGGGCCTGGCCGGGCTGGGCCGGGGCCCGTCTCGTATCGACCTGCTGGGTGGGGCCGGGCCGGGCCGGGCGGCGGGGGTGCAGCCGCGCCGGGGTGCAGGCCGTGCAGGCCGAGGTGCTCGTCCTGGGGATGACATCCTCGTCCTGACCCTCTTGGCCTTGCCCTTCTCGAGGGCCGCCCCCTCTCCGCCGGATTGGCCGTGTGGCGGCGGTGCGGTAGGTGCACGGCCAGCTGTACCGGAGGGTGTCCGGGGCTCGGGCGCAACGCTTCGCCACCCCCTCCCTGTCCTCCCCTCCCTCCAGCGGCCCCGCCCGACCTTGGGCGGCGAGCGGTGCGAACGAGTTTGGTGCGGAGAGAGACGGAGAGAGAGGCAGAGTAGTAGAAATGTGGACGGGGAGGGGGTAGGTAACAGCAGGCAAGGGCTAAGGGAAGAAAAAAAATAGTTTGGGTTGTGGATCGGCTGGAGTTAGGAGCGGCGGCTGCGGGAGGGGTGGTGCCGCGGCTGGGGCGGTGGCGGTGACAAGATAGATGGCGGGCTGAGCCTGAGCGCAGGGGCTCTAGCGGGCCGTGCCGGACTGGCGCTGACACTCCTGGGGAGCTCTCCGGAGCCTCGGGAACTTGCCTCATCATCGTGGAGGCTCTCACAGTCATGCCCGCTGAAATGGCGTGGAGGAATAGTGAACGTTACCTCTGAATTAAAATACAATCACTTCTATTGGCCTCCAGCGCGTAGCCAGCTATACCCTCCAGGCCACCCGTGAGGTAGGCAGCGCTGTGGCACAGCTGCACGGCGGGTCTGCCTGCCTCACGGCGCTCGGCTCGTCCAGGCCGCCCGTGAGGTAGGCAGCGCTGCGGCACAGCTGCACGGCGG